TTTTTGATTTTTACTTAGAAAATACTATAAAATTTATTATAAAAATATTGGTTTATATAATAAAATATTTTAAGGTATTTAAAAGTATCTTTAATTAAAAAACAAAATTGCAGGCAAATTTGGCTGCAAAACAGTTTAAGGGATAGTTTCTTTCTATTCATTAAAAATTTTTTTTTAAAAAAAAATATATTTTTTTTCAGGTTTTCTTTATTTCTTAAAAAAAAAGTTTTTTTTTTCTTTTATTTTAATTATTTTAATTTTAATTTTATTTTCTTTTGCAGTTTTTTCTATTTATTAAAAAGTTTTAAAAAAAAATTTTTTTATTTTTGTTTTTTTTCCTCTTATTAGTATTTTTTTTTAAAAAATATTTTTTATATTTTTATCTTTTTTAAAAAAATTTTTTTTTTATTTTTTTTCTCATATTATTAAAAAAAAGATTTTGCTTTTTTTTTGTTTTGACCTGTTATTTTTTTTTTAAAAAAAATTATTTTTTTAATTTTTTTCTTATTAGTATATATATTTTTTTTTTACTTTCAATTTTTTTTACTTTATAACTTTATTTTAAGAAAAACTGTTTTTTCTACTCTAATATTTAATAATAAAATTTTGTCCCTACTTCCTATTTTATCTGAATAATTTGAAAAGACAAGTTAGTATATTTAATTACTTTTCTTTTCATTTCCCTTTATTAACTTTATTTTTTTTAAGATTTTATTTGAATAATTTAATAAGAACAAGATTTTATTTAAGTGGTAAGTTATTACATTTCATTCTATTTCTTCATTCTTTTTTTTATTTACTTTAAATATATTTTTAATTGCTTATTTAAAGATATTATAGATTCAAATAATGGTAAAAGTCAATATACTTCAAATAATAAAGTAGATTATCAAAAGCTATAATTTCAAAAAGGTTAAATGATATAAGTTTAGGAAGTTATATTTATAAAAAAACTAGTTATAATTACTGCAAGTCTGCAATAAAATATATATATATTCTGCTAGTACAAGATCCAAAAATATATATATAAGAGTCAGATAGCAAGAAATTTTTTTATTATAAATTGTATACAGAGACTTTTTATATGAGTAATATATATAATTGATATCTGATATTAAAAATCCTGCAAAAATACACAAATAAAATTTCAGACATTAAGTTATTAATTATTTAATTAATTTATTTTATTATGATTTATAAAACCAAATACTAATATAAAAAAATAAAATTTATTTTAATTTACTATTTTTTCAATAATATTTTTCTATAATTTCACTTTTTAATTTTTAGAAATTTCTTTCAATTAATATTAAATATTACAATGCGGTTAACATATATATAGTAAATATATATAGTAAGATTAGTTAAATTTAAGTCAAAAATATGTAAACTAATTTTATATATAAAAATTTTAATAAAAAATATGTAATCTTAATGATTTAACTATAAATAAAAAATTCTTAAATTGTATGCAAATTAAAACTTTATTCTGTTTAATTTTACTATAATAGTAATGCATTTGTATACCCTACTCCAGTGTTGGATTTTAGACTGGTTTTTTTAATTGGATAATTTTAAACTGTTCAAAATCAGTTTTGAATATAGTTTTAGAAATAGTTTTAAACAGTTTAAAACTATTTAAAAATTCTAATATTTATCAACTGAAACTAAAAATAAAATATAAATATAATGTTAGAATGTTAAAAAAGTAAATATTTAATTAAAAATTAATGTAAAATCAAATAATATTAAAAATAATATTTAAAAAAGTAATATTAAAATTAATATTTAAAAATTTTTAAAGTAATTTAATAATTAAACTTAGAGCTCTTAATGAATTAGATCAAACTGGATTAAAAGGCAACTTGTACTTAATTTAAAAAATTGAGCTAATTCGAGTTGAGTTAAAATTATAAAATTTTGCAATCTAATCTAACTCAAAACTCAAATTGATTTTACCAATTTCAATTTATTGCTGTTTTCTAATTACTGTGATCTAGCATTTTTTAATAAAAAAAAAATTTTTTGAAAATAAAAATTTTATTGCATTTTCAAATAAAAGAAGTATGATTATAAGCTAAAAATTATAATTTTAAGAAAAAATTTTCAATCTTTAAATAAGTTTGCTTATAAATAACTTTTTTAAAAACGATTTGTTACACAAAATTTAAAAAGTTACTTATAAGTAAACTTATTTAAAAATTGAAAATTTTTTCTTAAAATTATAATTTTTAGCTTATAATCATACTTCCTTTATTTGAAAATGCAATAAAATTTTTATTTTCACATGTTTTCTCAAAAATTTTTTTTTTTATTAAATAATGCTAGATCACAGTAATTAGAAAACAGCAATAAAACAAATTATATAATGAGTTGAATCAAATTTAATTTGGTTAAACTTGCATATTTTATCCAATTTTCTTTATATTTATATATTCAGTTTATAATTTTTTTATTTTTGTATATACACATTGATTATATAAATCATATATTATATAAAAAAAAATAAAAAATAAATTGAAATTATTTTTTCAATTCCATTTTCCACTAAGACTTTAAGTACATGTAAACATAGATTATTTTAGCTGAAAGACTGTATTTCTTTTGACTTATAAAATCAGTACCATCTGAAAATTGCTCTTTCAATTGATATATTAGTTGTTAAAATAAATTTAAATTTAAATTTAAATTTAAAATTTTAAAATTTAAACAATATGTTATTACTAGAAATCACAAGATAATTACAGGTCATTGCTATCAAGTGTGATTAGGATTTGTTCACCTATTGTTAAAATTTAAAAAAATTTAAATTGTAAAATTTATTAATAAAATTGTTTAATTAGCATACCTTTTACTATTATAATACAGTAGTTTACATATGTTATGCATCACTTTGAATATTAATTTTAATTACATGTATTTGGCAAAAATAACTCACCATTTATCGATACTAGAAAGATGATTTTGGTACCATTCAAACTATCTTGATAAGATAATTCCAATAAACTATTGGTTGGATTTCTATAATCACTGGATGGTGAGTTATTGCACAAAACAGATTTTGACTAATCAGAAATGAACTGAAAAATGGAACCAAACTGAATCATTTGGAGCTTTAGACCTGACTTGTTCAGAGTTTTACCTTAATATTCTTTAATAATATAATGGGTCTGAAGCATTTACAGCCCTTTGCTTTGCTCTGAACAATCAATCTTTTGCATTCTTCTTCAACAACTTTAAATAAATTAACTAGAATATGCATTTTGCAAGGAACTTTGTCCCCATTATTTAATTTTCTGTATTGAAAGTTGAAATCAAATCTATGAGTTGCATTTTACTGGCATTTGTAAAATATTCTAACAGAAAACCAACCTTCTGGCAATTTAATTTTTCTGCTTGATTTTTTTTGATAGCAATTTTATGAATTGTCTATTGACAAAAATTTCGTAAAATCACTTTTCTTGAATATCCATTACATCATTGTTAGTACAACTATAAATGAGAAGATATTAACTATAATATTATAGGATACATCTTTAAAGTAGTTCAAATACTCACAAAAATATATTATTCTTTTCTGATTCCTTATATTTCATAAGAAGTAGAATAAATTTGCCAAGATACCATTCAATGAAAATGATTGAGTATTACGATATGCAAAAAAATTAGTTAAAATAATTCATCAAATACTTTAGATTCATCTAGACCTGCTAAGTTTTTAGCAGATCATTATTAGAATATTTCATTGATTGATAATTCTTGGCTGTATGTATTTCTAGAAATTTGATGAGGAGTGTGGTCTATTGTACCCAAAACTATTAACTTTGTCTATACTGCTAGTCATCATTTCTGTAGCTCCTCTGCTAGACCCTACACTTTCTGAACTTGATAATGATGGTCTGGTTATGTTGTTACTTTGTTACTTCTCCTAATGTCCCTCCATGTACCACTCCTGCTAATGATGATGATATATCCTTTGTGGTTTTGGCCTATTTATGCAAAAAATAATAGAAAATTTTGAGAAGAATTTACGGTAACAAATCCTTATCATCATAGGGATTCATTTATGCTGACTTACTTAGCTGAAGCAACTGGCTTTTTATTCAGTAGAAAAATCATTGTACTGTTGTCGATACATAAAAAATTTAGTAAAGACCAGTTGTGGTCTAAAGTAAAGTAATTGTCCACTTGAATTCCTGGCGGAAATAAAAGGTTTTATATTTATAGAGCTAAAAGAAGGAAGGCAGAACTAAAAAACTTACCTTCCATTTTTTTGAAATTTTTTATTTTCATACGATTTTTTACCGAGATTAATCAGTTAAAAATAAGTACGCGCCGTGCGCCATAAATTAAAAAATTTTCGTCATCACATGACATATGACATGTGATACTGTGAAATGTAGGTGATCATTTTTACGATAATTTCATATACATATCTAATTATTGAAAAACTCTTTCTTAAAAAATTTTTTTTCAAAAAATACTAAGAAAAAATTTACATATAAGAAATGGGTAAAATTAATAAAAAGAAATCTTCACAACAGTCTATACCCGTACAAGAGTTCGTAGACGCCTTCACCAACTCGTTTGCTTCTATATTAGGGGATATAATATTTGATTACATACAGTGTGGTGATGTAGAGTCTTTATTTTATACGACTGCAACTGCTAAACTCGTTCTAAAAGACGACATAGTTACAGAGCGGTCTATACTGGATAATATTAGAATTACTAAACTGTTTATGAGAACATTAAACCAAGTAATAATCTCAGGAGCTCGCTGCAAAGCTCGTCAACAGTTGGATAGTTTAAACTCACGTTACCAAAATGCTCTTCCTTTGCTCATTCAAAACGCTGCTGAGGCACAGTTAAAAAAAAAGGAGAAGAAGGTCAGCAAACAAAAAGTGCCTGTATCGGATGATACAGATGCCAATCTTGTGATCGATGAATTCATGAACATAGATGACAATGTAGATCCAGATATAACCATGTCCCAACCAAATCAGGAAGGTTTATCCAAGGTTGATCAACAATCTACATCTATATCAAAGCCAATTGGTTCTCAGATTCCGAAAAATGTAACACCTTCAGAATCACAAATTACGAAAGACAAGATCACTAAGATGACTATTAATAATAACGTAATACATGCTATACAAAAAGGTCAAGTGCGTACAATAATAGTTTACGACATACCTGCGGTCTGGTCACATGATGCAATCTTGGAACATCTAAAGTCATGGGGCCAAGTATTGGAAATATCCTTTAAGACACAATACAAGTATCAGTCTGTTTGGACTAAAATGATACTCAAACCAACCATAGATACGGACTTCGTTATGAGAACGTGGCAATAAAAATTGGGTAAAGGTCTTGTCTGCTGGTATCCTGGACATTGGAAATTAAGAGAACGTAAGGCTTGAGAACGTTTTTAAGTAAAATTTTCTCTTTTGGAAGACTGGAAAACTACTCTGTTAGCATTCAGTTACCACAGTGATCAATCCTTCGAATATGTATTGAGTTATGAATTGAAGGGTCACGCTTTTATTCATTTAAAGGTGCATGGGAAACATCAGTTGATCGCTTACTTTGAAACGCATGAACATCTACTTAGATGTATGGAATTTAAGCATCATTGGAAGCTGACCATTTCAACTCCTCCCACGAAAAAAATTCCTCAAAAGTCCAAAAAGGACAAAAAGTCTTACTCACAGCAAAGTAAAGGGAAGAATTTGGGCAAATCGCTCAGTCCTTCAACTCATTTACGCAACAAATCCAATACTCAACAAAAGACTGATAACACGCATTCTTTACTCATAAAACTCCTGAACCTTTTGGTATGAAATTGTGAGTAACTGAATCCTAAATAGCATAGAATAAGTGGCTTTAACTGTATTGCAGTCATAACATTTTTTTTTAGGCAAAATTAGTGGCGCTTATTTCTTTTGTAGGACCCAAGACAGAAGTTAATTTGGTGTTTAAGGTGATTTTGGTGGATCGGTAGGATGGTGTTTTTTTTTTTCTTTCTTTCTATTTTCTTTTTTCTCGGTGTCTTTGGTTTTTTTTTAGCTTCCGCTTTTTTTCCATCCCCCTTTTTATTNTAAGGTGATTTTGGTGGATCGGTAGGATGGTGTTTTTTTTTTCTTTTCTTTCTATTTTCTTTTTTCTCGGTGTCTTTGGTTTTTTTTTAGCTTCCGCTTTTTTTCCATCCCCCTTTTTATTGGTCATATTCCTGGTCCCAGTGTGTTTTTTTTATTCATTTTATTTTTAAATATGGGCTGTAGCATAGTTTTCCAGTCTTTATTAGTGCCCAAACTTAAATAGGTCCCGTAGGGGATGCAAAATGTTAATGATTCATTTTTAGTTTTATTTTATAATTCTACTATATGTAATCTAACATTCACTATTTTCGATCGTAAAATAAAATAAATAAATATACATATCTAATCAGAAAACGGCAGAGGTAGCAAATGAAATGTATGATGCTAAAGAGGGAGGATCCTAGGCCATTTAATGCGAGACCCAGTATCAAGTTATTTCTTTGCTCTCAGAATAATTTCTACAGATAATTTATTACTAACTACAAGATTCTCACCCCATAATCTTTCTCTACATTAGAATTCCGAAATAAATTACACTATTTATATCTACAGAATTTTCGTCTACACAGACTATGTAATAGATTATTTCCCACAAGAGAATTTCCCTGAGATGAAATGATTTTGAATCTATTGGGATTAACCGTGGAATATTGTTAATCGGCTGAAATTACAGTCATGTGATTTTTCTCCGTATTTCACTGCGCCGATGAAGCACGTGCTAGCGATTACGATTTCTCGGCATATGTTAATCTTTCTAACACGAATTACTTTATTTCGAGGAGATTATAACCAATTTTATAGTGAATGATTCTGCATCGCATTCTTTCAAAAAACTTATTGTATTCTTTTCGAAGAACTTGCGATCGAAATATTTATGACCCAATTTTCCGAGATGGTGTTATGTTGATGAAGGAACTATCGATTATCGAAAGTAGACGTGGCAAATTATAAACAAGAGAGAATAAATTTTCGTATAAAGACGTAGGAGTATATATACTTCATTTTGAATCCACACGTGTCTAGTTTCTACAAATTGATGGATCGATTTTATGCACTAATCACGATCGCATGATTTGGGCATTAATAGGGGGGAAGATGTACTATACAATAAAATCATTTTTCAAATATAAATCACGCAGCAAATTTTTGTTTAACCAAAAACACAATAAACAAAAATTATCATAATTTTTTGTACGTATTACAGTACTATTACAAGTGTTTGTTAATTTTTTTCTATCATTAATTGACAAAAACATATTTTTTTTTTTACCATTGTTTTTCATTTTTTAGGATTCAGGATGAATCGGGGATAATTTGGTATGTTGATTATATTTTGTTATAACGATTGGACAATATAACAATATAGCAGGTTATCGTTTATTTTTACGTTTATTAATTTATTAATTTATAATACAAAAATATATATTTTTATAGATAATCAGAAATGGGAGTTCCAAAAACAAATAATTTAGAAATACTTTTCGTCATTTTAATATCAAACTATATATTCTTAATTTGTTCAGTTCAAGAATTACAGGGTAAATGAATAATACCGTTTTTACATTTATTGAATCAAGATTAAATCAAATGTTCGCTTATAAAATAATTTTATCATTATAGATATGCAATAATGAATTATTAGTCGTCGAATTGGAATGCTTTTAATAATAATACGCATTTTAATAATACGTAATATGCATACATTAAAGATTAGCGTTGTACGTAAATATGCAATACATCATGGCATGTACTGTGATAAAATTCTTTTCAAGTTCCGTTGCTGCTCCCTCGCACCTATTCGCAAGACACAACCTTTCTTCCGATAATGGCTTTGCTGGCGTTATGAAATATACAAACAACTTTCCCACATTATCCTTTTCACTTCGATATCTTCCATTTGACTTTAACACGTTTTCTATTTTTCTTCGACAGTTAACGAAGTGACGACGGCGGAGAGAACGACCGGAAGAACAAAAGGAGGCAGGATTTCATTTTCACTTTTATTTTGTGTTTTTTAATAATATTTTTTTTTTTCGTAGAGAAGATTCTCTTAACTTAAAAATAGTGCGTAATCGAACCCATTTATAAAATAAAAATCCGCTGAGGCTTAGACTATCAAAGTAAAGCAAATAATTTCTAAATGACATGTTTTATTTATTTTCAAAATTTCTTGGTGTCTGCTAAGCAAAATCATATCACCTAAACCTTTCATCTAAATGTCAGGTTTATCTCAAAGTTGCTTGGTATCATTTGCTGCAGCATCTAAGTTTTTACCACCTCGTATAAGCGTATAAGCGAGTTTTGAATGATCGGGCATTGCTACATTATTAGATTATAATATAATATATTAATAATATTTTCAATTACTTTTTTGATATTAATTAGTTAACAAAATAAATAATTTTTTTTATCATTGAGTTTCGAAAGTTGAAAGGGTGAATCGGGATAATTTTCAGACTCAAAGCGAATGGTATAATACCTGAGGTAAAAAGCAAGTATTCTCTCATGATGTATATGTTCAAATGTCTATGTATAAAATTTACTACAAATTACACTTCTATTAAATTATATTTTGGAAATTTCGGTAATTGGAATTTTCCGCCAATATACAGTACATATTTAACAGGTAAAAATAGGATCTATTGATTAATTTAAATCTTAAAAAGAAAAAGTAGTATTTTGATTTATTTTTAAATTTTGTTAATGGTGCAAGACAATGACAATTATTGATTTTCTAAATATGGATTTAAAGAAAAGAAATTAAAAAATGTAAAAAATAAATGAATTCATTAAAAGAAACGTGACCTCCGATGCTTTATTGATCGTATTTTTTTCATAAAAATAAAAAAGAATTTCTTTTTTCGCAACATTTACATCATCAACTTTAATAAGACGTCAAGAATGATACTTAGCAACTTCCTAAATGAAATAGTTATACATCCAGTCCAGTCGTCGCGGGTCAAGTACTCATTAAAAAAGGGGCGTTATTTATAAACAGTTTAGCACAACGATGATTTTTGCAAAGTTGCCATACCAGCTGGATTCACCTGCCCAGTAGAGGGTGAATCAATAACTGAAGTTTCAGTTCCGGTGGATGCTTCTCTTAATGATCCGAAAAATGTTGTAATTGAATACTTTATAAGGATGCGTAGTAAATTCTTAATTATATAAAATTTTGATTTTATGAAATTTGTTTATATATTTCATACAATCTCAAATCCAGATGGTAAAAACTTATCATGTGTTAAAGGAAGCGTCAAGTTTTCTTATCCTTGGTTATGACCATTAGCATAGCTACGTCTATACTCGACTAGCACCTTATAGTTACATTGATCAACTTTAAAATAATATTTTAAAAATCTAACCAATAGCTCTTTATTGACCGAGTTTTAGCCTTTTAAAAACCAGTAAATTGAGACTATCAAGTTTTTACACTAGGTGAACTAATACAATAAAAATTTGAACGCTCTTTCCGTGCATTGATGCAAATCAACCACACTTAATGTATTCATTTGTATTTTTTAAAGAAATGTCACGAAGAATAGTTAAGAGTGTTTAAAAATCAGATTAGATAAATAAAAATCGCAATTCAAAATTTGCCAGTAGTAATGAATTTATAAGGGTATATTTATTCTAATATCGTTATAAATTAAATTATACATAAATGTATTGTGAATAAAGAATATGCAAGAAAATATTATGATTATATTTGGACTATTTGTAAAAATTTAAATTCAGTAAATCATCAGATCAAAATTTATTTAAGATTTTCTAACTGTTGATGCGCACTGTAAAAAGTATATTTGTTTATTAAATTTTATATTTATTGATATATTGTATTATATAACATTCAATATTCAATAAATTATTAACTTTCAACCATTCTTGTGTAAACTCTAAATCAAAAAAAAGCGTATTCATTTATTATAATAATAAACTATAGTTCTCATTATTAGTTAATAAAATTTCTGAATTCTTTTTTTTTTTTTGAAAATGATAGCGAAAAAAGAAAATACATAACATCACCACACACAACAAATAAAGCCCGATGTGGGCTTATAAAAATACTTAAGCGTTCACAGGCGGTAAAGTGGCGTAGCAATGGTGTAATAATTATAATAGCCCAACACTGCTATACGGCACAGACAAGTTATTTCGCCATCATGTGCACATTCTATTTTTATTACCAACAGCAGATACGCCACATTCTTTTTCTCTCAAAGAAAGTAATATAAATCTATTCTAATCGGTAAGTATTTAAACAGCACATTCATTAATACGTTATTTTTCTGATGTATATTCTCACACATCACCTATATACAATACATGCATGCTAGTCCAATGCTCTTCTTGCTTCCTTTAATCATGCCCTTATCTTTCTTTGATAGAAAGCCAATCATAAGGATTTTCAGTAAACAGTAAAATATCTTTAAAGTGGATATCTGATTGGAGAATATACAGTTCAAGATCAATTAAACTATTGCATAACATTTCTATATTTTCAGCAACTGATGGTGCATGTGTAACGTAAAAAACTTGCTGTAGCCCATAATAATAAATATAGAACCGGAAATCAGTTCTTTAGCGTATTTATAAAAAATATTCTATACATTAGGATCTTATTCTCTTTTTTTGAGAGAATGTTTTTGGAGAGTTGTTTGAAAAGGCCAAATTGTCTTCTTGATATATATAGTCACGTTTTCGCCTCAACTTTACATGTTTGACTTTGAGATCCGTGCAATAATCCGTTAACTTGTTCAATCGATGCTATAAGAAATTAAATCCGATAAGAATGGTGAAATACGTATATTGGTAAGGAAGTGAACAACAACAAACCTCTAAAGAACGTAACATTGTGTGCACTGCTTCATATGCAGGCAACTCTTTTGCTGAGGCGGGCAAAGAAACCTTATCAATCATTCCAAAACGATAAATTCCCGAAGTTCGGACATCCATTGCATAAAGATTCATTTGTAAGCCTGCGACAAAAAGTTAGCAGTCTTCTATCAGAAATTTCTATGCTTCTTAAAATATATTTACCAATTACTTGACATCCGAATACAATGACCTTCATATAATCTATTGGTAAAAGACCAGGAAAGGTTTTTATTACTCTGTTTATCATATCTCGCATTCCAACCATTAATTTCAGCTTATCGGTCCAAATTTTTTTGGGGCATCCTGCTGGAAGTCCTCCTGAGACTTCGCAAATGAAACCTTCCAAAGCTGGTCCTGTCGGCAAAGCTATTATAATATCGGTTTTTTGTCCAACGCGTGCACGCTCATCATTAGGATCTTGCTCTTGCCTACGTCTTTCCTGACTTGCGACTAGCTGTTGCTCGGACCTGAAGTTCCAAAATATTATGTAAATTAATAAGATTAATAAATCTAGCCTGATATGCAAGACAGGAACAAGAAAGACCCTTTAAAAATTACCAGTATTTTTGAAATTTTTCTTGATTCGGATCCAGGCTCATCCTGAAAGCAGGGGCAACAAAACAAATCATAAGTTCCCCCTCGTTAATTGGTAGTTTGAGGTGTTCAAGATATGACTTTAATATCGTAAGATGAGCATTTAATACAGGTAATGTCTGTTGGGCTTTCAAATCCTATTTTTTTAAAAAAAAACACGTGGAACAAGGAATTAATAGGACGAAAATGATAACTAAAAGCATGTGTCATTGTAATTACCTCCATATTATCAAAAAGATCGTATTCGGATTGGTCAAGATTAACCATATTCCATCCTATATCAAGTCGAAAATCATTAATCAGTTCATTCCATTTCGTAAAAAACATTTTCTTTGTCGGTTTATGCTGTCCTGTCAAGTCAAGGACCCCCCAGTATGGTGGACTTCAAGAAGAAAGCTGATATTAGTGAATTTATCACGAAACTTATCTTTCAGAATCATTATATAAAGGAATACTTACTGGACCTCGGGATTTGTTTTCGGTAAGGATTTGCGCAGGGAACTAAAACATTTTACAATGTCAATTTCGTCAATCATAAAAGCGTCCCAAGTTTTTTCCACTGGAATTCCAGATTTTGAATGAGGTGGTGCAGGTTCTTCTTCTTCCCCTCCAACATAAGATAAGTCCACATTGTCTACAAGTTTATCAAAATATTCGGAATCTTTAACGTAATCATCTCGTGGAGCGGATTTTCCATTTTCATGATCCACATTGTCATCTTCGTGAAGTTGAGACGGAGTGATATCACGGGGGAAAAATTCTTTTATTTTTTTCTGTCCGTAATTATCCTAAGGTATTAAAAATTACATCAAACATGGTTATGATCATAGGTTACCTTATTACCAGAAGACAATAATAATAAAGCTGGGATTAACTTGCCGCTTTATTTCGTGACATACTGCTTGACAATCCAGCATTGAATGTTCCGCCATTGACCGTTCCAATTCCTAGAGAGCTATCCTTAAACGTTGGTTGATGCAAGTGTATTGAAGTTCCAGTAGTCTCTTTACTTTTTTGAGACAGCCAATCTCGTGATATCCGGCGATCAGGCCGGAAACCCTTTAATAAGAGAACTTGAAAAATTTAGCAGTATCCTTGACTAATACCTTAAAATTTCTATCTAACTTTTTTTCATCACACCAGATCGCCTTGAAGACTTGAACGTAAGACCATCTTGGAGATTGCCCACGCCCCGATGTGGCTAATACTAGGTCATCTTAGAGACTTGAACATCAGATAATCTTAGAGATCTTCTGTGCCCCAATACTAGCTTCGTAGCTCGTCTTAGAGACTTGAATGACAAAAATCTTGGAGATCTCTGCCACGCCACCAATTTCTTATCAATATTTTTAACCGCAAAAAATTCTTGAACTTGCCTGTTTATAACGAGCATACAATTCCTGTGCCTTTTTACGCCTATTTCCACTACCAGTTTCAATTATGTTTTCGAGAGAAGTGAGGTAATATCCGATCTGATCAGTAAATAATTTTGCGTCGCATTCCTCAAGAAACCCCGTAATGGTCCAATCGGAGGACTTGCGATCGAAATACTCGTGTACCGACTTTTCCGGCATGAACTGAAAGATACAAGTTAACGTATGGTTTTCTAGGCATTCTAGGCATTTTTGTCGAAAGAAGAACTTACTATATAAAAAATTACGCGTTTTAAGCAAGAAAAAGCGAGAATTTGGACTATATATATATCTAATACCTTGAACTTAAGCTATTGGATGACCAAGCCACAAAATTATGTGCGTTGCTTTATATAGAGGTAGATCACACGGGTTAATCCTCAACTAAGCTGCATACCAGATACCGCGTTTTTTTTTAGAAGTTAGTTGTACAAACTATTACTAAACAAGTAAATGTATATAATATTTAACGCGTATTAGATATTTGTGAAGAAAATTTATATTACGTGAAGAAATATGTACGCGGCAAACAAATTTAATTTTTATTTCCAATTTTTTTATTTGCGTTTTATAACCTTGTCTTGTTTATTACGAAAATCAAAGAATATACAATGATGATGGTTCCCATTCGTTTGTGCTGGAATGGGTATTTTATCAAATATGAAAACTATCGCTTAAAAATTCAACGTTAAGGCTGGAATCTTAATAGTAGAACGTGTATAGGAGGCTGTAGATTATTTAGATGGAAAACTAAAACTGGGACGGTATACTTAACAAATCGTATTGATAATATTTTAGTCTTAATCAGTTTAGGAGCTTTGGTTTCTCAAATTAATTCAAGGTAAGTGCTGGTATTGGGTTATGTACAGTATTGCTCCGGTGATGGAAATAAATGTCAAGATTATGTGGTGGTATAGGAAAATGAAAAATGGCAATGATATGTATGCATCATTGTAGCGTTAGAGTTGTTTCTGGATGTCGATTATCTTGGCTATCTTCAATCATACATTTCATATTATTCCTAAAATTTCTCGAATAAATTCAACTTTAACATGTCTAGAGCGGATCATAGGAGAGCTGAAGAAATAAAAGCAAAATTATTAACATCATTCAATGATGCTTCAGTAGTAGTAATTAACAATGCATTAGCATGTCAACGTTTAATCTGACTCCGACAATTGCTAGAGATGAAAAAAAATTGAAAGATGATCCTGGTCCTTGGACACAACTTGATCATTTAGTAGTGTTGCCTGCCGTAAATAGTTGTAAGTCTAAAAATCAAGTAATTATAATGGTTGTAAATCAGAATTATCATCTTTTAGTTAACCACAATAGCATAGTATTCACAACCAAATTACAACTTATGTTTATAATATTACAACCCGCTTAGGTTGTAATTCGAAATATAATAATCAATACTTACGGCACGCAACCTTATCATTTAGTAAATAATACTAAACCTCAAGGTTTTATATATTGTCAAATAGCAGATGTTAACAGCCGGTTGATTCATTCGGTCGATATTACCAACTTACATTCACTGATGAGTTTGGTTGAAAAACGCATTGAGATAGATGGTAAATACGATTTAAATTTAGATCGTACTCCAGTATTGTCAATTGTTACCGAAAATAGTGTTGGTTGTGGACTACCTATTGCATTTGGTAGGTGAAATTTAACGCATATAATAATTTTATTATAATTTATTTATTAAATCGTAAATGAATATACATTAGCTTTGTGTAGGTAATAAGGAAAACCATCAAACTATACGATTGGCTATTGAAGCTATTAAAAAAAAAATATTTCATGTGATAACGAATTCAGTGGTACTATGAAAATCTTTTATCTGGACACAGAGAAGCCATATATTTTGATAGAGCCATAGACCATCTAAACTTGCTTAACAAAATGCTTCACATAAAAAATTTTATGCTGGTTTCATATTATGAAAATTTTAAATAAATAGTAAGTTGTATATTATATTATTATTTTTTTTTTTTATTAAAATTGATTACTTATCGGTTATTTTATTTTTTAGATATCCTATAGCATTAGTATTCAAAATTGTAGGGCGTTGTCGGACTGAAGAATCTGCAATTGAAATGACTAAGCAATATATTTATTACTATTAGTACTCTTCCAATGAAAAAAACTAAAAAGGACAAATTAGATGATTTATCTAAAAATTGGATGTGTGTAAAGTTTTATTGATGTAGGTCGTATTTCTGATACAGACTTTCATGACTACAAACAGGCAGTATATAGTGGTAAACAAACACCATTAACATTTATTGAACGAATGTATGCAATAAATTTCAAAGTCCAATCATGAAGATTTAAATAGATTTGAATCTGGCTTGATTACTTTATTTACAATTGAATAGGGAAGAAAATTTTTATTGAACTGATTTTATTTTTGATTATTTATAGCAAACTATGTTGTGATTAACTTCGTAGGCTTTCTGCTCTCCTCCTATTCCATTTTGAGTAGCCATAAAACCTGAAGTTGTCTGAGTACATGCGACTGTAGCCTGAATTGCTTCATGATTATCACCGTGAGAAAATTTTGGCCTGAAATAAGATCTCACCAGATCATTTGGGTCGGAAATTCTGGATCGGTCTATTTTACCGGGTTTGAAAGTTTCATTTCTTTTCTCGATCAAAAGCAGATTCGCTAATAGTGAGCTTTATTGAAAGATTTTCGTCCCAGATTTACGATCTTGATTTGCGCAACAACAGTAAAGCTATATGATTTCTTATTTCAAATGGTATACAACTTTCACTAGTATGCTCCCCAATCACAGCGGGTAATGTGATGAAGATATGTGCTTTAGAGGAAATATGTTGGGGAAATTTCTGATGGATCAACTCTAATTTATGTCTCACCAGTATACATTATTTTGCATATATTGTGACAATAAATCGAATTTTCATTACATTATGTTGGGTATATATGCGTTCACAAAAAATTTCTCTAATTAAATTTGGTCAAATGCAACCCTTGGCTATCAATATTCATATGATTTTTGTTTAGTAAAAGAATATCACGTGATTTGAGTATTAAAAAAACTTGCTGATCGGCAATTGTAGCTATAAAGTGCTGGGAAATAAATTCCAACTCTTTACATTGCGTTTCGGAAAATGTCTTATAGCCAAAGTAATAATTACTACACGAATGATTTTTTTGCTTTAAAAATAATTATTTTTATTGTTTATATATCTATGTATGTACATATATATATATTTTTTAGAAAGTATTTTTGCATGTACTCCAGCTACTTCTCGTGGTCAGGCCGCTCAGCTTGGAGTTGACCCAAAAGGAGAAAATTTTCTTTATACGAACGGCAGAACCGTTTTCATCAGGAATTTAGCTGTAAGTTATAAATTATTGTAACATTTTATACAGTTCATGCATTCATTCGTTATTTTAATTTTTTTTTTTCTTTTTATTCTGTTCATGCAGAATCCAGTCATTGTAAAGGAATATACTGGTCATTCAGCAAATACCACAGTTGCACGTTATTCTCCTAGTGGTTATTACGTCGCATCTGGAGGTAAATTGGTGACTTTATTTAGAATCACTAGCTCCAATCAGTAGAATTGACGTAATTTATATTGATTTAGATGTTCATGGAAATGTTCGAATTTGGGATGCGATTCAAGATGAACATATTTTGAAGAATGAGGTTAAAGTTATTGCTGATAGGATCAATGATATTAGTTGGGATTTCGAGAGTAAAAGAATAATTGCTGTCGGTAATGGCAAAGAAAGGTACATTAATTTTCTGTGTTTTAGATGCAATAAACGTTTGTAGATGAATACTGATTGTATTAAATTCTTTATAGACATGGTCATGCCTTTTTGTTTGATACAGGATCATCAGCTGGAGAGATTGGTGGCCACTCCAAAGTTATTAATAGCGTTAGCATTCGGCAGAAACGACCTATGCGTGCTGCCACAGCGTCTGATGATTTTACAGTTGTATTCTTTCATGGACCACCCTTTAAACAAAAAACGACAATAAAGGACCATTCAGGATTTGTCCAAGGGGTTAAGTTTTCACCTGATGGTAGCAACCTCGCAACTGTTGGTTCAGATAAAAAGGTAAGAGATGAGTATCTTTTATATTTTTATGTCTTTAATTGTTTATTGATTACAATTTCAATGATTTTTTTTATAAAGTTATTTTTATATGAAGGAGAAGGAGGTGAAAAACTCGTTGATCTTTCCAAAGTTGTTGGAAAAGATTCTCATAACGGTGGTATTTTTGCTGTATCGTGGTCTCCTGATAGTAAACAATTGCTCACATCATCAGGAGATAAAACAGTAAAACTTTGGGATGTTGAAGCGCAAAAAGTTGTTCAGTAAGTTATAAGTTAATTTATATCTAAATGTGACCTTTAAATTTTCTTTCTTAAATTCTCTTTTAAATACTTAGAACGTATGAATTTCCCGATGTTATTGAAAATCAGCAAGTTGGGAATTTGTGGGTTGGAGAATTCCTTATTAGTCTCTCATTGTCTGGAGAACTTAATTATTTAGATCCAAAGTCTAATTCTATTTCGAAAGTGGTCAAAGTATGTAATTTTATATTAAAATTATTATACAACACGAATTTTTATTCACTTTAATAAATAATTAGGGTCACCAAAAAGCCATTACTGCTTTCGCTAGATATGACAAAGATAATACATTATTTACTGGAAGTTATGATGGAAAAATTTATATCCTTTAATAATAATGACGATGTTTTTTTTTTTTAAAAAAAAAAATTTATGATCATAATGTTACTTAACTTATATCAAACATGCCTGGAGCGGAGATGAAGGCAGTGCTGCTTCAGTTGATGGTGAAGGTCATACAAATCAAATTTGTCAAATGATTACTTCGAATGATAAAATAATTTCTATTAGTATGGACGATACTCTTAGGAATATTAATGCCGAAACCAAGAAATTCAGGTAAATAAAGAAAGTTATTTGCAATTTTATATTATTTTCTAATATAATAAGTTGGCTATTTTAATCATTATAGCGAATCATTTGCGAAGACCAATGGATTACCGAGGGGATTTGCTATGAAGGATGATAAAATCTTTCTAGCAACTACTAAATGTATCGAAATTATTAAGAACGATAAAGCTATATTCACTCTAGAGGTTTCAAATGCCCCTACTGTTATTGGAATTAATTCGGATGGTTCTTCAGTAGCTGTTGGTAGTGAAGTAAGATATATTTTATTTCACATTTATTGATTATTGTAATAGGGGTCGGAATTGATTCTGTAAATAATAGAATTGATTGTTCTCGAGATTTAATAATTTTTATAAATAGGCCATCCGACTCCAAAGCAATTTCTATTTCTGCCTAAATGCGGATCATTTCAGAAACTGGATTGGAGTCAGGCTGATATATATATAAAAATATATATTATTGATCTGATTAATCGATTCCAATCTCTATATTACAAATCAATATTTATTAAATAATATTTTTTAATTTGTTATTATAGGATTCAAAAGTGACACTTTATAAAGTAAATGGCGATAAACTTGAAGAGAAGAAAGTAATTACTGGCAGAAGTTCCATATCGGCTATTGCATATTCTCCTGATGGATCGTTATTAGCTGTAGGTGATGCGCAAGGAAAAATTACGGTTTATGACACTAGTAATCACGAGGTATCCATAATAATAAATCTATGTTAAATAATTTGTATAATAGTAATAGTACTAATGTATGTAATATATTAAAAACAAAAAAATAGGTTAAAATTTCACAATGGGTATTTCATACGGCAAAGGTTAACAGTATTGCGTGGTCACCGGATGGACTTCATGCGGCTAGTGGATCATTGGATACTAATATTTATATATGGAGCGTAGAAAAACCAATGAAAAACATTGCTATTAAAGGCGCACATCAAGTATCAGTAACTGGCGTAATATTCTTGGACAATGATACAATATCTTCAGTTGGACAAGATGCTTGTGTAAAAACTTGGACTATTAAACATCATCAAGTTTAAATATATATCTACTGTAAATTAACTACTTTATTCTTAAAATTCTTAAAATGAAATAAAGTCATTATTTATTTAAGAAATATATTTAATCGATTACTTTAATATTATCGTTTTAAGTACAACTATTAAGATAATTTTCTATTTTAATATTCTATACTCTAATTTGTGATTCGCTTCTAAAAAGATGTTTCCCGATTATACTAAAGCACAAAGGTGTGATACGACATCACGTGATTTTAATGTTACATTTTCGGCAAGCAAAATATTGATAAGTCTCAGCCGTCACGCGGGGTTAAGATTAATACTTCCTCGCCTTTTAGCAGGTTTTTCGTCAATAAAAGGGGATCTAAACAAATAACTGATGACAAAAATTAATATCTAATCTTGCACTCTTTTAACCTTAAAATCGAATTTTTTTTCTTTAATATAAATAAAAACAAGGTAAATAAAGAGGAAAGCTTCATTTTATTTTATTTTTTTTTATATTAAATAGAGATTTTTTTTTTTTTTATATTAACAGTTAATAAAATAAATAAAAAAAGAAATGAGAAAAAAATTTCGGGGAACGAGAAAAATCATTGAAGTTGACGAAGAATATAAGATCAAAAGTATTGAACTAAGTTTCGTTTTTTTAACAATATTCTTCGTATTTTGTTTAAGGTTTTATTTGGTAGCTTTGATCTTTTAAATTAAAGTTAGAAAAAAAATATTTCTTATCATTTAATTCTTTTGTTAATGGATCTATCTTTCTTGAAGAGTTAGTTAACGGGATGTTTTATAGAGTGGCTTAGTATTCTTTAGTCTAAGCCATTCGATTGTGGCGATACCCGTAAATACATATAAGCCTTTTTTAAGTATAAGATATCACGTGGAGTATTAGCATGTTATTAGAAATGTGGTGAAATTCAAAAATATTTTGATAATTAAAATAATTTTTTTTTTTTTATTTAATAAAAACTATCCTATAAATCGTCACTTCATTTTAAGTTAGTTTTAACAATGTATATCAGATGTTAAGAGAGGTTTGATCAGTCATTCCATATGTCCAGTATGTAAATGTCCAAATTTGGTTTACTGCGGTGGTATCTAAAACAAATTAAACCATATCTGTGCCATTACACGATACGATAAAGTCAGTAAAACAGATATCGTACTTTTACAATCCATTGATAGATCACTTACTTTTTGGAATGATGCTATTTATGTTGAGGAATGTATTTTTTTCAACTTTTTTTTCATCAATTTTGTCTATTTTTACCATCCGTCGTGATAAATTTCGAAATATAATGTAATCAAATGTTACGGATGAATTTCCATCATCAGACGAACCATTTTTTGATGTGGACTTAAAGATTTAGAGATTACGCTAGATTTTTATCAAAGATTTTTATATGTCGTAGAACAAACTTTAAAGAATATTTCGTCAACAAAATTCACAAAAAAAATAATTCGCTCTGAATTATCAAACATTTTTGTAAACATTCCATTCAATTTTGCTAGGATTTATACGAGAAAAGACAAAATTCTTTTTGTTTAGAAATGTTTTTGCTTGAGATATTAATTTTATCGTCCTGGCGAACAAATTGAAACAATTTAAAAGTTGGGTATTGTTGCATTTATTTGTTCAAGATCTTTTTTATTACAACATTAAACAAAAGAAATTGATTACGAACAAATCAGTGTTATTCAAAATCTAATAGTCTTAAAAATTAGATATATCAAATTATTTATTTAGTTATGTTTATATGAAATCAATTTAACAAATTAATAAAGTGAACAAATTGATTTATGATTCATGTAATATGTAGTTGCTGACTTAGCCAAGTCTTTTAAAAAACTTGTTGTCACCTGATCACCACGTTGAGGTGCAGCAACATTGATCAGGGGGGAAAGGGGAAAACGAAGGGTAAGGGAAGGGAAAGGGGAAAACGAAGGGAAGGGGAAAACGAAGGGAAAGGGGAAAACGAAGGGAAAGGGGAAAACGAAGGGAAAGGGGAAAACGAAGGGAAAGGTGAAAACGAAGGGAAAGGTGAAAACGAAGGGAAAGG